AAACAGATGTATTTGTGTCAGACCTACATTTGAATTTCTGAAAGGAGAGGATGTTTCATGTTAAGAGAGATGAAGAGGTTGTTAACTTGATATAAGTAGAATAATGACAAAAGAGCATGTGAATTTGTGCCATAAGTGTGTGTACGTGTACGTGTGGGTGTTTGTGTGTCCCATGTGGCTGGATATTTATCTCAATCAAGGCTATTCATTTATAGGTCTGTCACTTGCTGGCACCACGTGGAATTATAGGACAGAAGCAATCAATACACTGTGTGTTTAGGATTATTTGTAGACAAGGAAATACACAATCTTAAACCAAGAAACATAGTGAAAAACAGTGAAACCAACTTATGTCAAATGTCAATAATATTACATCTTATTGTATAATAAACTTATCAGGAGCAGAGTACTAAAGCCGTGTCAGAGATGAATCATTCAGACTAGCTGCAGGAGGGAGTTATGTTTAATCTTTTAATAAGAGGAACAGTATAAATGTTGCTCAAAATAAGGTCGGAGGATGAATCAAGATCCAAAAAATGTACAAACAAATTGAGGAGTCATCAAGCCTTCATCTAACTAATTAAAACGAATAATACAAATGATTGATTTTGATGCGGACGCATAATATTACAATGTTGTTGCAGCCATAAAGAATCAGGGAAAATCAAACATTCATCTCAAATTATTGTGCGGCATGCAGCACACTGCCCCTCTCCACAGTAAGAATGCAACCTGGAGATCTTGTAGTAGTCCATATTTGTAATGACCACACTTATCTGCCCTAGGTAACTGAATAATCTTCTGCGTGCTCTCGGTAATGTAATTATCCTGGTGTTAAACGGGTGTCTGCCCAGCTGGGATAATCTGAAGTTCCTTCCACAGACCTCCAGTGAGAAGGGCACCCACCCGTGACCATCTGTAATTTACAACTACAGTCATTATGATACTGACGCTAACGAAGGCTGATATTCAATTAACCGACATAATCAAGACAGATTGGCCAGAGATCTACAACATATACTGCAATAAAAAAAATGAACAAGCCATTTCTTCACAAGTGGAAAGACAGAAAGGAGTGAGGGCTTTGGTTGATTTAAATGCTTTTCACTTAGATCCAGAAATGTTAATTTGGCAAGTGACCATTGTGAGAGAGTGTTAAACTGGTGTTAAGATGATGTGCATAATTTAAGGAAGCTGTTGGAATCCATTGATTAAATAAGGAAGCAGGGTCTGTCAGCTAAATCTCCAGTATAACAGCTCAGATTTAATCCATTAACATTATTTAGTTTGTTGTTTAATTTGAACAAACTGCAAATTGCTGTGCCGAAGTGAGGTGTAGATGTGGTGTACCATAACTTTTCTTATCATTTGTCTTTTGTATCCATTATTAGCATTTATTTATTCAGAATTGTTTCCCCATTTTCTTCTCTCTAATACAGTGGTTCTCAAAGTGGGGGGGGCGCAGAGGCATGTCAGGGGGGGCGCGAGAGACCAGGAGGAAAAATGATTATTACAACAAAAACAAAAAAACAAAAAAAATCATATTTTGAAAAATTATTGATTCGAAAATAATATGATACAGTACTATTACGTCTGGGTCTCTGTGTTTCATTAAAGCTCGGCTCTGTGTGTGTGTGGAACGAGCAATTTTGTGTGCATGCGCAAGCGAGAGAGAGCGCACCGGTACCGGAGATCGTTGTTGTTAGCTTCTGGTGCTAGCGAGCTACGCTAACAGAAATAACGAGTTTTTTCAACAACAAGGTGGAGGAGAGTCCTCTCCTGTCAGACTGAGAGACTCAATGAGCTAAAGGACTCTCTCAGTGTTATCTCAGTGGGTCTCAAACGTTTTGGTCACCATTAATGTAAACAATTATTTCCGAGGCACACATTTATATGATCATTATAGTTATAAAAAAATAAGAGAATAAATTAAAAACAGTTATGAAATACTATATGACATTAAAAAAAGAATAAAGTTTAAAAGGGAGTGATTTGCAAAATATCCATAAAGAAAAAGTAAATCTGTTTACAGTTCTGTTTCAAATGGGTGTTGAGAGATGTTTCCATAGATCTCTTCATGTTGCTCTCAAAGTGCACCAGATTGATGCTTTTAACTTCAATATTTAAAAATCTTCCGGGAGAGCTTGCCCCCGGACCCCCCTATGTGAGGTCCACACACCACCTATAAAAATAGCACTTTACCCCTGCTTACACCTATATGCCGTGAGCTGATATCGAGCCTTCATTGTAACAGTTGCGGAAACATTGTGTATATGCGTGGGGAGTGTTGCAGTAGAAAATTCCACTAGCGACCGGTACATTAATGAGAAACCCTAAATGTTTGATCACCCTCTATGAAACGTCAAGCTACTCCACAGCACCCCCAAAATAAATCTATGGCGCCGCCACTGAGCCTGACTATTTGTGTTGGGGGGGCCCGACTTTTTTTTTTCTCCAAAGGGGGGTCCTGACAGAAAAAGTTTGAGAACCACTGCTCTAATAGCAGGCGATTCCTTGCATTGAGCTTCACCAAATGAGTGCAAAGTGAAGGAGGATCCTACTATAGCCTTGATCCCACTGTCCTTCGTGCAGGTGCTATGCACAACAGATGCAAGCAACAATGACAAACCAGCAACCAGCTTCGGACTCTCAAACATGTACTTGGACTATTGGAATTAGTCTCTTTTTAGCATTGGCATGACAGGCGGTAAACATGATCTACGTTGATGTTGTGAGAGTGGTGCTGCCCTATTAGGTGGAAGCTCGAAACTGTCGAAGAGCGCTGCCCTCAATGTTCAAAAGTATTTAAACTCTGACCTTGTTCATCGCTGACCTTTCGATGTGCAACCAATCTGCTGTATGTAGGGACGCAGGCTAGCAGGGGCTGAACTATAGAAAATAAATCTTAAGTGGATTCACCGCAAGGCTCTGCACCCAACGTTGCAGTGACCAAAAAGCAACTCGCATTACATGTGAATGCAGCTTTGGAGTAACACCTCTGCTTATAAACAACCCTCTGGTTTCTGAAGCACTCCGACTGCGACTCAGAATTAACTTTTTTTTCAGATTCTCTTTATTTAATTAATTCACATATGGGAGCTTACAAATCTTTATACCACTAGCTATTAAGCAACTCCAATGACTGGACCAGTTGGAAGTGTTTTTGTTTAAAAGCTAACACACTGTATCTGTTAGAGGAGGGCAATGTTTGGGCCTATTCAAGTTGTGTAGCTTTAGGCCACAAATCCAAACATTTGTTGAACTACACACTGAGAAAATCCCTCCCAGAAATAAATAAAATAAAACCATGAAAGAAAGGTATGCCTTTTACTGAAGCTGATCCTTCCCTTTGTTTCTGAGAGGACAGAACATTCATCTCTGTTTTATGATATTTTCTCTGTTATCACTTTCATCTCTAGTGGCAAGGCAAACCCAATAAACATAAAGCAGGTTCAGTATGAATTCATACTTTACCTCTATGTCAGCATGATGATGATGATGTAGGTAGATGAAGATGATCAGAAAGACGAGGGTGATGAGAATGAGCATCATGGTGGCGATGACAACACAAATGATGCTGGCTATGATTTAGTTACACAGCAGATCACTGCAGGAAGAGTAGAATAGAATCACATACATTGCATTTTAATCAAAATACATGACCATGGTTTCAAACTATAGAAGTCAACTTTGTTTTATGCATATAGGCTGGAATAAGTGATAAAATCATTATTCATTAACCATTTGTTAACACACACACACACAGCCCATTGCAAGGTTATATTTGCAAGTGAATTGTAGGAGGATTTCATCTAAGTGAGAACAAGGCTTAATGTGAAAACCGCCTCATAATTTTAAAACAGCATGTGTGTTTTTCTTAAAAGGGTAATACATGTCTCATGCTGTACAGTTTGGATATACAATCTATTCAAGTATTTTACATCATGCAGTTGAGAGGCATGGCAAAACCTACAGTTTTCAATTGACTCGTCACAGGGGTTTGAATGAATTCATGTCTTTGAAAAGGAGTTATAAAACATAGCCGGAGTTACAAATGATCTGGTTTAACAGCCATATAATGTGTTTCACTTGTTGCTCAGTGGTAATGTCAAGTCATTGCTCCTAGTGTATATACCATGATTTCCTGTACCCTTCTGTAGCAGCCGGCCAACACCACCAGATAAATGACCTTCTCCACTAGATAAGATATAAATGTACATTTGTGAATTAAACAAACACAAAAATTAAATAGATTACAAAACGAAAGATGTCTGAATCTGTCCAACTCGTTCAGCTAATTACAGTAATGGAAGCATTAAGCTGATCAGTTATTTGCTTAAAGGTTATTAATTATAAATATATATATATATATATATATATATATATATATATATATATATATATATATATATATAAACATGTTACAAAATCAGCAAATAACACATGCCAATTACTTTTGGAAGTGTAATAGGCGAATGCCAGTCACAATCATCTGGATCTGGGGGTGTGTGCTGAACAATTATCACCAGCTGGATGCACATGTTATGCATCGAACTTGGTTGAAATTAGTTTGAAGTAGATATTTACTAGCTGTGCTCCTATTTTAGTGTTAATAGCTCTGTGTTTATGATCATTAAGGCTCTCATAAGAGGGTTATTTTAGAGAAGAGCACAGAGCCTGCTTTGCCTCTCCATCTGCCTTCCAAGACATCCAGTGCATGCTCAGCGTGTGTAGCTGCTTGGCTATATAACATGGAACACACTAGTTACAAAACACATCTTCCAAACGTTTTTTTTCCAATCTGATCATATTCCTTTCCCAGAAAAAGAGCAAAACTCACAGGCACAGAGGAAACAGAGGAAACGAAGGATCCTGTGACACATCACAATACTACTAATACTGTCCTGGGGCAAACCCGGTACTGCATATCCCTCATGCGTTTATGGTAATATGGTCCTGCTTTACAATACATTAGAGCTCAAATGTGTCGCAGCACCTACCTGCCGATGAGCAGGAACTCTCCCACCAGTCCCTGGCGTCTCATGGCCATGAGGATGTTGCGGACAGTCATGCCTTCACAGAAACAAGCCACCACCCGGGCTTTGGGCAGATGGGCCCGCAGCCGCTCCAGCAGCCGATCAAAGCTCTGCTCTCCAGCATTGCTCCAGATTTTGCCTGGGGATAACATGTCAGACAAATACAAATGTGGTCTGTGACAAATGTGATATGTTGGATCTCTGTTGTTTAATGTGTTGGGAAGTGTTGAGTTCCTTTGGGGGTTTTCTTTGTCAGAGTTGCTCTATTTCATTATGCTTTAGTTTCAACCATCTGACACCCACAGTGTGAAATGGGTCTTCACCATGTAATAAACAACAGACTGATTTTTGTTGTAAAATATATATCTTGTTGTTGGTAGATCTCTTTAAGCTGCAGATACATGTATCTGAACTGTGGACACCCTGGTGTTTGAAAGAAAGTACAAAGGTTATTGCTGTTTGCTAGCTACACTTAAACAAACTATACACCCACTAAAATACAATTCAATTTCTTACTTGACTAGATATTGTACATTATTATTGATTAGTTCACTCTTGTTGTTGTGACCTGAGTATCTTACCAGAGTGGGCGATACAGATGCCCTCCTTAGCTGCCATGTCCTTGAATGCTTCCATCCCACTTTCACCATAGTTGCCTGGAGAAACAAAGAAAGGGGAAATGAATTGAATTCTGTTTTGTTTTAACAACAGCAGATTCAAAAGCAGAGGTAAATGCATGATTGGAGGGATGGATGGTTACATAGATATAATTCATACTTAATACATAATGACAATGAACAATATTGATTCCATTCAACTGACTTGTGCAAACTGAAAAGTAATTTTCTATAACACATGGTCTAAATAAAAAATATTTGTGGAAAAGGAGGAAGTTTGAGACCTGATCCCTTCTCTTTCTCAAAAACATGCCCACTGCACTAACTTGTCTGCTACTGCATATCTCATTAAAGCTACATTTTGTGTCAGAGAACGCGTCTCCCCACAGTGGCACCCGTGTCTTTGCCAGAGAAAGTGGGTGACCTGGAATTTATGCAAATGAATGGTTGTACACACTGGCAAAGGATATGATAGGATTCCCCTCTTTAATGTCTCTTCCTCTCCCTTTTATCTGTCCCCCTCCTCTGTTTTGATAGGATAAAAGATTCAAATGATCTCTTTCTAACCCCGTTCTTTTTAAATAATGCCTCTTTTTTTCCTCACTAAATGAGGTTGATACATCTTCTTTGTATTGATCCGTGCTCTAGTTACACTGATGAGTAAAAATAAGTCAAAAGGATAAAGAGTGATGAAATGAAAGGAAAATATTTGGGGAAAAAGACAAACCATGGAGGGAAGGAGAGCACGCTGAAAAATCAGATAGGGCAAGACGTCCCACAATCCCTGACCGCTGTTGCAACTCAGTGTGTCAGTGAGTCTATGTGTGTGTAGTCAGGCCAATGATGAGTGTGGTGGAGCGAGGTGTAAAGTCCTGTAATTAGTGTCTCAGTGAGAGGAATCGTAGACAGATGGTACAGCCCGTCTTTCCCCTGCATGTTGACACGTGTGCACACATTCAAACTGTTACCATCATCAAAATCGATAAAGCTTGTAACCTACTTCACTTAGTCTCAAAAGGGATTTATGTGCGAGACATCTCTCTCTCACTCAGTAATCCGGTCATGTCTCTATCACTTCGTTTCTGCCTCTGAAAATCTTACACTCTCTTCAAATCGACTTCTCTAAATTCACTTTTCAACATTTGATACGCTTGTTTCAATTCAGCTTGCCCACCTCGTCTATTACTTAAAATCCTGCCTTATATCCACTCACACGCCTTTTAACCTTAACACAACTTACAGCCAATATGTCCTGTGTAGACCATGGTTAGCATCACATTTTGGAGCAGAACACATCACATTAGGGCAGTGGTTCTCAAAGTGGGGGGCGCGCCCCCCCAGGGGGGCGCAGAGGCATGACAGGGGGGGCGCGAGAGACCAGGAGAAAAAATGTCTAAAAAATAAAATATATATTTAAAAAATAAATAAAAAGAATAATATTTTGAAAAATTATTGATTCGAAAATAATATGATACAGTACAGTACTATTACGTCTGGGTCTCTGTGTTTCATTAAAGCTCGGCTCTGTGTGTGTGTGGAACGAGCCATTTTGTGTGCGTGCGCGAGCGAGAGAGAGATAGCGCACCGGTATCGGAGATCGTTGTTGTTAGCTTCTGGTGCTAGCGAGCTACGCTAACGGATATAAGGAGTTTTTTCAACAACAAAGTGGAGGAGAGTCCTCTCCTGCCAGACTGAGAGACTCAGTGAGCTAAAGGACTCTGTGTTATCTCAGTGGGTCTCAAACGTTTTGGTCACCATTAATGTAAACAATTATTTCCGAGGCACACGTTTATATGATCATTATAGTTATAAAAAAATAAGAGAATGAATGAAAAACTATATGACAGTAAAACAAGAATAACGTTTAAAAGGGGAGTGATTTGCAAAATATCCATAAAGAAATAGTACATCTGTTTACAGTTCTGTTTCAAATGGATGTTGAGAGATGTTTCCATAGATCTCTTCATTTTGCTCTCAAAGTGCACCAGATTGATGCTTTTAACTTCAATATTTAAAAATCTTCGCGGGGGAGCTTGCCCCCGGACCCCCCTATGTGAGGTCCACACACCACCTATAAAAATAGCACTTTACCCCTGCTTACACCTATATGCCGTGAGCTGATTATCGAGCCTTCATTGTAACAGTCGCGGGTACACTGTGTATATGTGTGGGGAGTGTTGCAGTAGAAAATTCCACTGTAGCGCCCGGTACATTAATGGGAAACCCTAAATGTTTGAGCACCCTCTATGAAACGTCAAGCTACCCCACAGCACCCCCAAAATAAATCTCTGGCGCCGCCACTGAGCCTGACTATTTGTGTTGGGGGGGCCCGACTTTTTTTTTTCTCCAAAGGGGGGGCCTGACAGAAAAAGTTTGAGAACCACTGCATTAGGGCCAGGCCATACATTTATATTATAGCAATATTGGGATTTGTCACTATAGGTACCACTACCACTGTTGTAGCTCTTCTATTACCCACCTAGTCATTATAGCAACATCACTGATTATTACATATTAAAAATCTCACGTGCCCACATTCGTTAACCCTAATATTGTTGCAAGATTGATATTTAGGAAAAAGATGTAGGTATCTTATTTCACATAGGGTGGATTTACCTCAAACTCTCTCCTCAAATATAGTGCCTTCCTGTGGTTCATCAGCTCCCACTGAAAAAAAACCCACTGGGACACCCAGCACAGAGATCACACATTCACAGCTTCTCTCGGTTTCCTTTCTAACCTTTTGTGCTTTTGTCCCCTTGACCTCTTATTGATCCCCTCTACAAAGCTGCGTGTCCTTAATCTCTATATCTATATATATCATTTCAATGGCAAACGAAAAAAGAACAAAAACAGCTTAAAGTAAAAATGTGCAGAAATATAGGAAAGATAAATCCTTTCTCACTGTGTGCTCCTCACATGTACACCCCTCTACCCTCGTTTGCTTTTATCCCTCTTCCTCAACTTATTCATTTGATATATTGCAATAAATTACAACACGCAAGGCTGAAGGTCTCCCACTTGCCCTCTGTGGAGCTTCCTCTCCCCCTCCTCTAGCTACTTGTCTTCTCTACACCCGCTTTCTCCTAGCAGCACATCAGGCAGTACATTTTAAGATGCAGCGACAGGTGCTTCAGTGTATTTTCCCCCCTATAGTTTCCATCCCTCCCCTCTTCCTCACACCCTTTATTCATCCTTCTCAATTACCACTCTCATCCTCTCGTCACTCTTATCAGGTCTATTACATGCAATTACATGTTACTTCCCTTTCCCCCTCCCTCCCTTCCTGTCTGTCTGTCTCCTCCTTTTAACCCTAAATCCCTTTTTACCCAGAGAACAGAAAAACAACATGCAGTAAAAAATATAAACACTATTCAGTAAAGGGCATCATCTTTCTGCCCCTCTTTTTTGTTCTCTACAAGTTATCCTCGATCCCCAAACTACCCCATATCACATCTGGAGCACTAAAACAATGTGTAGCGAAATGTCAAACACAGAAATACCCCAGGGGTTGACACTCACTGACACCCACACTGTGTTAGACAAGATTACACAGCTAATGGAACGCACACATTACCACAAAACACAGACAAGCAAAGACTTGGTACAATATTCTTGTTTGTCTACATGTTTGAGGAATTGTTCAAATATTTTCTTCAAATTACTTTAGATTTAACATTTAGATTTAAGAAATGCACACAAAACAAACTCAAAAGGTTTTTCCTTTTTGTTCCGAGTCAACTGATTATCAGAATAGATACAGA